GAATTAAAGAGTCAGGAACTTGTGAAAAATGTTGTGCTGAGCTAAAGTTACTGAATATAGCTAATAACAATAAAACAGATGCCCAGTTACGGCCTGGCAACATAAGCAAAACTGTTTCCACAACTACCTCTGTGACTTAAGCCAAAATGAGCTTAAATTATTAAAAACTTCTGCCCAAATGGAACTCCTGGTGTCAGGTTTCTCTGCAGCTCATCCTTCTTGACAACTGTCAACTCATAAATCAGGAATAACTCCTGAGGTAAATACATCTTTACCTTATATGACTGAAACATGTGAACATGTAAATAACGGGAGGCAGGAAAAACAAGAAAAAAACAGGATGTGTTAAACTCATCATGCAATCACAACATCACAGCTCTTAACAAGTATCAAGCTCACGTGTTGTGTGATTTTACTACTTTTTCCTGGCTGTGGTTGCAACATGGGAGCCCTACATCATCCCTGCCCCATTAACTGCCTCAGTCCCAAATCGTACTTGTATCACAGTGCCTTTACTCCACCCCTTATTCCATCTCTAATTCTTTATTTACCTACGTCTAACCTTATTTGTCCTCCTGCTATTTTATATCCTCACCCACTCACCCTGACACACAGACGCCCCCTCGTCCCTGAGTTGCTGCAGGCCGGGGGCGGCCTATCAGCGGCTACCAAGGAAACCTCTGGATGATGTCACGTGGCATGTGTGCCGTTCCAAGTCTGACATCAGTGGGAAAAGATCTCCTCATAATTTCCAGAGCATGGCCCAAAGGTTTTGGCTACACAAACCACAACCTCTTGTTTTCTCGACACAAAAACCTTTTTTCTGATCCTCCAGCTCTCTAATATGCAAAATGTATGTGTTTCACAAAAACGCACTAAAAGATCACACACATTAAAACTGGATGACCTCTGAGACAATGGAGATCCAGACAAGAACTGCTGTGTTCGCATGGCTCCACTTCGGCCGCTCAGGTTCACTGGAGGAGGTCACCCTCCCAGATTAGCTCTGAGTTTGGCCAAGTGGTTCATCCGTCTGTGTTTGTGTTCAGACCAACTGCAGCCATTTGTTTCACTGGGCTGCACTTAAAACTGAGGGATAGGCTTTAAATTCTCTCTGAGTTTTTCTTGGCACACTCTCCAGGAAAACAGAGAAATCGGGGGGACACGTTCTGCAGATGGACAATGTCAAAGAGGCACCAACTTTCTGAACAACACAAAAACATACCCACATGCTATATACATTCATGAAGGGTAAAAACACTGCTTAAAGTCTGAGGTGTGATTTTAGGGACATTAGCCATTAGAAAGGAGTAATTGCGATCTCATTGCAACATGAAGGCAGTGATTACCAGGTAAATAACCCATCTTCTCCCATAATCACGGCTCTGATTACATTTATGATCTTCACTGGCACGAGCCACACTACCCTTTTGCAAACCGCTAAGAAAAAAAAATAACATTATGGTAGTTAGAGGGCAGATGCTCTCTCTGTGACCACAAAATCCATGTCAGAAACCAAACCACAAACCACCCTTAGCATACAGTAAGTATACGTCTCTCTTGACTGTTGTATGGAAAGAAGAGACCCAGGCTTCTATACAAGCAGACGAAACTTTACTTTTACTCCAATTCATAGATGTAAAGTCACATTATTTTATCTCTGCCTTTGACTATTCATGTTTAGTCCTTTTTACAGAAAATCCTTTGTGAATTTTCTTGCTTAAGACCTGCAAGACAACTACTATTAGAAGTTTCATGAGATCAAATAAGCACCATCACAAACAGCGCTCTCATATGGATAGTCCGAAAATCTTTAGTTTTTTTCTCTTGTCTTATTATTTCTTCTTTTTTGCATTCTGAGACTGAGTGGAAACTACAGGCTCTCAAGTCAACTTAACTAATTGGCCTGCTGGTGAAATCAAATCTTTTGTGTGCATGTGTGTGTGTGTGTGTGTGTTTTCATGCTCACCACCGCTTGGTGGTAACTGACTCTGGCAAAAGTCAACATGGGATCCGACTAAACTACAGAGGGGAGAAGGGAGTGAGGGCAGGAGAGAGTGAGAGGAGTGCAGGGTGAGCATAATTTGGAAACTATGTGGCATATTTTCCATTTTGAGCATTCACTGGAGCCTGTCCTGTCTCCCAACTGGCAGACACACAGCAGGAGGGCTTTAAACATCCCTCACAAAATATCCGTCTGTTCCCACAGTAACCACTGGACTGTTACCGCGGCTCCGATCGCTCTGTATGATTTAAAGTGTTCCTGTGTCGCCTTAACCTTTATCAGTTTACTCTGGGCAGCAATAACATTGGAGCAAAAAGTAGAGCTGAGCTGGATAAAAGCAGTCATTTCCATAGATGTAGAGGAAATAATAGCTATAGCACACACATCAAAAACATCTGGATTTATGCCTAACGCCTCGTTTCCCACAAAGCTCCATATGCAAGTCATTCGGAAGTGTAGTCATTCCTAAGGCAACCTCCGTGATCTCCTGTGTTGTAAAGCTCCTCCCCTTTGGTATTTTTCAGTCTGGAATTTGCCTCCATCAAATCTTTTTTTTTTGCATTGGAATCGGACAAACTACATTGTTGATAGTGAATGCAAGATATGCAAGAGTTCATTATTACATTTATATACAATAATGTATTTGTATGTATCTAAAGATATATTGATAATAATACAATCAACTTAAATGTGCAAAGTCCATAAACGATACGCAATAATGGGCATGAAGCAAAACTGTGGAAACGTTATCAAATGGTTAAGCAACATTTTCAAAACAAAATTTGAACATAATCTGAGTAATTAAAAAAAACTCCCCTCGTTTCTTCACTCGAGAACCACATCTGACACTTGGCACTTATGCACAAACAGTATCGCACATACTGAGATATGTCTTTTTTTCAATATAAAAATCTGGATTTAGTTGTGAGTCTGTCATTAATGGTTAAGAATGAGGGAAAGTTTTCGTCGTAGTCTATCATCTTGTATCCATGTCCCCTATAGCTTGGCAGAGCACGAAGGGACTGTACAGGGGATGATGTCATGTTTCTTTCTTTTTGTCTGTTCTCGTTGAGCAGCAGTGAGGTCAAAGGTCAGCTGGCTCAGCATCAGTCACATCAGTCAGCCTCTGTTACTAATTATTATTGAGGGCCTCAGCCTCACAGACTAATCCCCTTTTAAACAAGCATAACTCTGACGGGACAAAGACAACAGTATTCCTTGTGCCTTGTGCCTCTCTGTGAGCATTTTTGTACATGTGTGCGTGTGTGTGTGTGATGTTAAAGAGCAACAAATATACACACAAGGGCTCGTTATAGGCATTATCCACACAAACTCTGATTCTTCACACTAAGTAAAAGCAAACCATATTTTATATTATGATGCAGATCAGGTGTAGGCTTCCTGTACTGTCACTGGTCAGATTATGATTAATGCTTCATCTCCTGCCACAAAGCTTTTATACACATAAAAATAGTAGAAAGGAAGACGAAACCCCCACAGTCTAACGATCAAAACCTGCCATTGCTTCTTAAAAAGTTCTGTAAACACAAATGTTGCCCATGCCCATTCAGACCATGCAGGAATCCAGACACCACAAACAATAAAAGAAATACAACAGTTTGAGTAGTTGTAGCTGCTTAGGAGCCACAATGAGGCAGAACTTTTCAAACAGCATCAACAACAGATGCAAGGTTGAGCTGCAAATGCAGCACAGATGGAAAGGGAATAGAATTCCAGGACATTAAGTTCTTTTGTGGAAAATGTGGAATATCTGGCACTTTAAATTAAATATGATTTGCAATCTTGAGTGGGTGTGTACGAGTGGGTGGCAGAGGTCGGGTGAATTAGATGTTGGGGGCTCCAAAAGCTAAATCCACACTTCTATGGAGGATGTGGGCCCCACCACAATCCGTATTTTGTGCACCATGACACACAGAATGGGGATTGGACGACCATCGTTTGCACCACAGTCATATGAGTGTGTACTTTGCTTTAACGAAGAATCGCATTTACTTTCATGTTATTTGTTTTAGGACTTCAAGTCAAAGTCAAATTGGTCTGTGTGGACTTGTTTAGAACGGCCTTGTAAATAGTATGTAATGGGAAATGCAAAAATGCATCAGTTATCAAATCTATAAATCTGTTCACTCATCCTACTTTGGCACCATCAATTTTACATGGAATCAAATGGACACTGATGAGTGGGAAACCAGTGTAAACTTAGCAAAAATCCCTCTAAGCAAGCACACAAATAGTCCTTCAAGCAACACGAGGGAGTTTTTGAACTTTAAAATTATAGCTTCAAAATCCTTCTGCTGGCACATAAACTTATAATTGGGAGAAATCAAAGGCCTGACTGTCACTGCCACAGCGCCCCCTGGACACCTGGAAGTGCACCATTGAACTTTGGTGTACCATGCTGGAACATTACAACCAGCTTTACTGCTTACGTTGCACACTAAAAACCAGAGCCGGAGCTGGCAGTTTGCAATGAGGGACAACTAGCTCGCCATTCTTAGTGTGGACGTCATGGCAGAGCCACTGAAGAAACCAAAGTTGACGTTGTCGGAGGAATCAAAGTAGAGCATAAGTGAAGGTGACAAAGTAAGAAACTGAACAAGAGTAAATATTTAATTTGCTGGCTGGAGATAAAAGAGGCCGAAGGATGCAGGACAGAAGCCGACCTGCTGTTACCATTGAGGTTTCGCAAGTAAGCCAAACAATCTGATGTAATTTAATACACATCATGCTCAGACATTGATAACTCTGTCAGCAGCTTTCTTGCTGCTTGAGCTTGTTAGCTTGTATGCGACTGTTCTACTCTGAGTTGAGTGAAGAACAAAAACCTTGTCAGTCCACATAGTTCTTTTCTGAGGTTGCAGGTTTCTTCTCCAGCAACAAGTGTGAGTAAATTATGTGTCCGATCTTTAATAGCCTGGTGGTTGAATGCATCAAGTACCAATACCAACATGTAGTTAAAGAGTACAATGCCTACCTCGAAGACTTCTTCATCAAGTATTCTAGTTCCAAACACTATAATTCCTTTGGTATCGATGATGGGGTTGGGGCTACGGAGCAGCTTCTGGGTGGTCTTCTTTTTACAGTCCAGAATGAGAGTGATGGTCTGCTTGTGCACACTGATGGCCACTCGATGCCACCTAGAAAGGGAGGAGGAGTTAATTCACATGCTTACTGGGTTACATGCTGTCCACCTACACACCACTAACAGGCTGAAGCCCACTTTTGTGTTTGGCTTCAAATTTAAATACATCCCATTTTGTTTTCTGGAGTAAAAGAATCTTAGAACTCTTTTTGTTGACATGAATTGGGTTCTGCACTAGATACACATTTCAGGATACTGCAATCTACATAAAGTGTAAGGGATCCAATGTAGAACATCTAATAGAGGTTACATGTTGCATGAATATCAATTGGAGGTACACCTGGTTCAGGTGCTGCATGATGGGGTTTAGTGTCAACACGCTAAACCATCTAGAGACACAACAGATCACTTCATTAAAGCCTGACACATCCACTTGGACTCTGATTACAGGGTGAAGATGCAAAAGAAAAAAAAAACAGCCTGACACGCCTTCATGCATGTTCATCGACTGGTGAACCTACTTTCCATCAGCTAGATTGACTCCTCTGAAGAGGGGGTAGTCCTCGGGGCTGGGTTTGCCTGTGTGGTCCTCGTACAGGAACACTGGGGAGCGTCCCACTTCCAGTCCGAGCTGCTGGATGCCTTGCTCGTTGTACACAGACAACAGGAAGGACTGGCTGCCCTTCCTGGGCTTCACCGTGGCCAAGATGGAAAAGTCCTCTGGGAACACATCACCTGGCAGGATGGATGGTGGGTTGGACAGAGAGACAGATGTTTTGGAGACATATTAGTAGTTTTTCATCATCATAAAAGGAATGAAATACTTCTAGGCCTAGACTATTTGTTCAGGATGTCATAATCATGTAATTGTTTAAAGAGACAGAGTACGCTCTTCAGTGTCAAGAGCAACTATAAAAGTTATTATTGCTACTTCTAATCGAAAGAGCTGCTAAATAAACAAAGGAATAACTGTGATGGCTTTGAGCTCCGAAAGGAAACTATTTGGTAAGTGCGGAGACTGTAACATGAGAGGATTAATCTGAAATGGATAAAGGCTGAAGAAAGGGAAAAAAAAATACAAAAGTTTGAAGCAGAAATGCAAAGTGGGAGCGTTTCCAACACAGCACAGGATGAGAAGCATAATGACAAAAGCATGTGATCCAGAGAGACTTTGTCGAAGTATCCTTGAAACCCCTCCCCTCAGCTGATCGATCTAACAGAGGCTGACGAAGAAAAAGAGGAAATATGATTGATTTTTTTACAGGAGAAAGAGAAATAAAGACATTAGTGGAAATGGAAATAATTATGTGGTATTTAAACACATAAAAGGTACAGGAACAGACATAAAAAAGACATGTTTTTCCTCCATTTGCTTGGTGGAGCCTCAACTACTTCCTCCATTTTGCTCAAGTGTCTGGCACATCTGCCAGACAGACTCTCTTCAAGGGGCGTTCAGGACCCCAGAGAGAGGATGGGACTTTACGACCAGGTCAGACAAGCAAATGCTACATTCTAATCTTTTAGAAAGGGGAGATCTTGACGATATCAAAACCACTATTGTTATGAGGTAGCCGCAATCTGGATTATGTGAAACATAAGCAAAGGAGCGACTGGGACTCCAGCAGCAGCCCCTTGCTGTTCAGAGAGCACAGAGCAGATTTCCAGACGACCGGAAAAGAGAGGCAGGGTTTGTGGTTGCAGTGGTTTTCTAGCACCTCGTGCAGCCATTAAACCTCCTTTTTACTCTGCTGTAGGGGTGGAAAATGTGAAATTGGAGCAACTAGGTGGCCAATCAGAAAATGTGGAGGGCAACTCAGAGGGACTGCGGTGTGGAAAGCTGAGGTTGGGAAGAGATATTGGAAAAGGAAAAAGGGGAAAGGAAAAGAAGAGAAAAATAATTTTGCCACTCTTATACATTTACTTATTCTCTTTTCTTTTAGCTGTCTTTCACTTGGTCAGCATCTGGCCGTCTGTTTGCCTTCCTGTCCTATCTTCCTGCCTTTTCCATCATCCCTTCATTATTGCCAGGCACCAAATCACATCATGCGGAGAGCACATGCCTTGGCAGCGTGCTCCCTCAGGAATTTAGCTTGGCATCATATGAAAAACATTGTTTCTAATTGACAGATGCTTCGACAGCGGGCCAGTGAAAGGGAGAGGGGAGGAGAGACAAGCGCTCAGAAACATGGAGGAGTTTGAATATGAAATGTTACTGTTGGATGTAAAAATAGAAAGGTGGGGAATCTCAGAAAAGAGAAACCATGAGTGAGCATTTGTCGCTACATCCGGCTGCACATGAGTCACGTTCTGTCGCAGAGGCATTGACTCAGCGCTGGCTCAGGACGGGCTGTTTGTGTGGAGGTCAAGAGTCAACTGAGGGGCAAATGGGACTCAACGGCACAGAGGGTGGGGGAGCAAAGGAATGAGAATATGCTCACTATATATATATTTATTATTTAACCTAATTTAAATTTGAATTCTACTACTTTGTCCATATGAAAAGAATAATCTTTAAATGGCTGGAGAATGGCTTTTTTCAGATTTAAAGTAGTGGTTTTAGAATCAAAATCAAAATAGATCAGAGTATATGTGGTCCCATTCCTCCTCACTCTCTCCTCTGGACCTTGTAACAGAGTGAAAGGTTGGGGATGGGGAGGAGGGGGTCATTCAGAAAAGCTCGGGTTTCTCTGGAATGTGTCTCTCACACTGGTACTTAGGCCACCAGATGAGAGATAACTCATTCCTCATTTGGCGTGTGTGTGTGTGTGTGGGAATGGAGAGGCCGGTCGTTTACACTGGCATCAGACTAAAAAGGGTCTGGGGATGTCAGAGACACAAAAAACAAGTCCTAACGACTGAGGCAACATCCATCATTTTCCCTCAGATTAAATACCCTTAACAGGCGCTGCTTTGTATCTCCATAAAACATTCATCTAGTTAGATATACAGTTTATTTTCTGAGGTTGAACAATCAGACGCGATGGTGAGGCATTTGAGTTTTTGAAATATATAAATTAAAGGAGATCGAGAGTGTCCTACCAACCCCTCTCAATTTTCACACCGGTGGCATCTGACATTTACACCTCATTAACTCTTCTTCATCAACCCAACATTTGCCTGAATAAACATCAGTCAGGGAGAGAGTGAAGGGAATTATCTTCCATGTCTGTGTGCGTGCAAGCAAGCAGGTAAATGAGGTAGAAAGTCCTGCGTCCTATAGTAATTGGTCATTCAGTCATCGCAGTGTCCAAAGCCCTCCTTCTGTTTAAGACAAGCAACATTCCAGTGGGAAAGTGTACCTTTCTGTTGGCATGCAAAAAAAATTGAGATACTTGGACAAAGGACAGAGAGGAAGATGGATGTGTTTTTCATGCAGGTGAGCTTAAAAGGACTCAGGATAGATCGATTTAAATCAAAGGCCTGAATAACAGCACATCACATTAGATACTCTGGAAAGAGAGAGAGAGTTACACTTATTACAAGTTATTATGTTATATTTTACTGATGTCATTAAACGTGGCTTTAATCTGTATACATGCATATACAGATCAGTGGACAACAGTTGTTTTTACTTTAAAGAGACAAGAAGATAAACTACTCTACCAACATAATTATTTCAATCAGCTAAAATGACCATAATAGTTACCAAATGGGTGGTTATTGGATATCAGAACAATCATGTTTTCCTTCTACTGTCATATCATGATGCATATTCTGCATCCACAGTATCTCAAATGATGAGTACCAAACCAAAATTTCAGGACTCACTGTACATGTGGCATAGAAATATTTCCTATCATAATAAATAACATCAATATATTTACCCGAGGTTTTAGGAAGTTAACGGACTGCGTCATTCGTGGGCCATGTCTCGATTGCTTCTACAGCTCTTGAGCTCAGCTTGGCCGTTTGAATTTCACCGCATGCTGCAGCAGAAGCCCCTAATCACATGGCCCGTGCCATCGAGCCACAGCGGCCCTGATTACCAGTACACGTGCCAGGTGACAGCTATAACCCCAATCAGGGAGAAGACGCGCATCAATCTTTCCTTGCTGTTTGTGCTGATGCAGGCTGTCGTCACCAGAGGCAGCGGGGGAGGAAATCTCTTCTGTATTGACTTCATATTGTGAGAGCTACAGCAGGGTTTCTCAACAAATTAAATTTGAGATATTTGAATGGCTTTTTCAGACCACAGTGAATGAAATGTATCATATATGTCGAGTAATGACAGATATGAAGAAATCAGAGTCCCAGAATTACTTATACCCTCCTATAATTAGATAAAGAGAAAGTGAAGTAGCTTTGTGGAGAATAACCCCTGATACGCCTCTTTATCTTTATCTCTTTAGCAAACTACAGGCAGAGACGGTAGGTATCAATACTCTTAGGTTGCACGTTGGTTCTGAGTTTTATTACAGCGTGCCAATATCTGTATCATGTAGAACATACTACAACACAAGGAGACATTATAAACTATGCATGCCAGGGGAATCAATTTAGAATTTAAAACACAATGGTAGTGTTGAATGAACGTTTACATTATTTAGACCTACCTAAATGTATTTCAGACATAGCACACACTGTTAAGGGGTATTTAACACTTTTTAGGATTAAAGATTATTACATTTTATACTTTACTTTTAAGATAATGCAGAGATCCTGTACAACCAGAGATTTGTGGAAATTTGTATTTGTATTTGTGCACTGACATACTGTTTCTCGTGGACGTATCTGCATTTAGAGACAGTACATAAAGGAGGATAGAAGATTGGAAGTGTGTTTTATAAAAATTGAAGCTGGCTTACGTCTCCCATTTCCTTATTTCTTCAGCTCTCATTCACATAATAAAGGTAAGAAAGGACTCCTCTGTTCTCAGTGCCTCTGTAGCTTCACATGAATCATCTCTTCCACATGTTTGCTTAATGATTGCATGTCTGTACTCGCTCCTTTTCCAACACATCATCACAGACTGTCTGTGGTTAGTGGGTCACGGGCCAGTGTGTTCTCAATCAGAGCTACTGCAGGTTTTTCTTTATTTTTAAAACCAATGTTAGTCATATCAGAATGAGTTTACACACCTTTGTTTTGTCATATTTTATTTGTGGCTTCAGGAGACAGAGTGCTGGGTTGATAATTGAGAGAGAACTACCTCCTAGGCTTTGGGCCAAAGTAAGAATTCAGTAGCAGACTTAATTTAAGGAGGAAAAAAGAGATGGATAAAATGATCTCACACGTTTCACTGCCTTCTGGAATATATTAGCTGTACATTTTCTTAATGTTGAGGTGAGAGAGGGGACCACATCACAGACACTTACACTGGCTTGTTAGGGCCTTGGAGCTCCAGGCAGCTTCTTATTCTGTTTGCACCTAAAGAGTGTGTGGTGCCTGTACTGAACTCCTCCAAAGTTGGTTTGTTTTATGAAGACTGTTATTTTGGATGATCCGGAGTAGCATGTGCATAATTACAGAATGTGTATCTAAACAGAGGGCTCCGCTAACATAGAGCTTCAAAGTGGAGCAGTATTTGTTTGATTGGAGAGCATGATAGGGCACGCAGGCCGCAGCAGCCCTGTGGCTCCGCTTTAAGCTGCAAAAAAGAGCCAAGATACGGATCAAAGGTCCACTAAGGCCAGTGCAATGTCTGAGAGGACCATGAATGGGGCTGTCATCCAATCTAAGCTTTGTGGAGGCTTAGCTCACAGGAAGGGTTATCTTTTCTCCCTCTAGACCACATCGCTGCTCTTTTTTTGACTTTTTGTATCTTTGAGCTGCGGAGAAACCGATCCATCTATAGTTTTAAAATTGGTTGTCACAGAAATATGGTTTTGAATTTCTGTACTGGAGAAAGAAGAAAAAAAAGTGTACAGTGAAAGGAGCTCAGCATGTCTCACCAGACAGTTTAGATGAGATACAGAGAGAGAAAAGTACACTGTGAGGCAGCAGCAGCCGTCTAGAAGAAATGACAGAGGGGAAAATTACGGCGCTTGAGGGAAAATAAAGTGAAGGAGGGAGAAAAGCGAGCAGAGGGATGAGACAGAGGAAAGTATGGAGCAGCAGCCTAAAGCCACGTCAGCACAATAGAACAAGGGCGAAAGTGGAACCCCAGACTTCCCGCCCCTCTACCACCCCTATTTTCACTGCTTTTTCCACTGTCTAGCTCCTCCTCCAGAATCAAATATTACAGGGCTGGAATCTTTAGGCTTCTGCTGTGCGAGGAGTCATAATGCATTATCTTTATAGTTTGAACATTTGAATGTGTGAGACTAAGGACTGACTAAGTGTCCAGATGTGCTGCACATCTCTGACTTCTTTACAGGGCTGAATTATTTAGACATATTGTATATGCCCAAAATCCCATAAAATAAATGTACAGTTGACATAAATAATCAACTTATAGGAGCTAATAAATTGTCTACCTGGAGAAGGGGGTTTAGGAACAGACAAGATGAGAGTACATCATAAAGCTGACCAGATGGCTACGGCAGAGACAACTAGTAAGATCTGCTAAAGATCTTGGAAAAGCCACAACATTTGCAGTCCTTCACTCTTGTGGTGCAGTATGGAAAATTGGATTAAAATGGCATTGAGGATCCTTGATGTTATTTAAAAGACAGACAAAAAGAGATGGAGGTATTAGTACCGTGTCACGTACTCACCTGGATACAGCTGTTTGGTCGGGGCGCTGAGCTGGGCATCTCTGGATACTCTGTAAGCCACATCGGGGCCTTGTGATGACCTCCTATGTGAGCAGAGACCCGTTGTTTTTGTAACACCCTCGGGTAAACTGTGAAAATCTAAAATCTTCAAGAGGTCTGCTGGTTCCGCTACAGAAATAAAACAAAGAGACACAAAGAAGAGAAACGATTAGATTATTTTAGCACTGACGGAAACAGCACAAATGTTCAACATTTTATGATAAGCTTTAATTATGACAATTATTTTGCATTTGTCTGTCTTTTGCTGACTCAGAAGCACTAGACTTTGTTATGGTTCACAAAGGATATTTTTTGTTATCCATTTAGACTTGAAACAAAGTTGTGCCCATTTATAGATCACCATGATCATGGGTTGCAGCTGCAGCAAAACCCATCCTTCTCTCCATTTGCTGACTCTACCGCTGCCTCCGTTGGGCCACAACCGTGCAATTAACACACTTTCAAGCCGGTTGTCCCGGCTGTCACCAGGCCACCACAGGAGTACACTGGTTCAGAACAATGTGACACAGGGTTTGACCCTGGACCGCACAATCGCACGCCAAAACCACCCAGGACAAACAGCTGTTCCTTCAGCCAGATGCACACATAAGAAGCTGCACAATGACACACATTAGCATCCAGAAAAGGACACCGGGTCACATCTTTAGGGACAAGTCCGTAAGGAAAAGGGGCTGTCAGGATGTTTTAGGGGAGGGCAAACACTAAAGTCCAGGAGAACTAAACAGAAGACAACAGGGGATTTTATGGCACAGGAGTTTAGGATGCATTTTTGTGCAGTTGTTTGGAGCACCAAAGGCATCCCATCAGCCAAGTATAAAAGCTTGCACACACACACCCACACACACACTCATGTACAGCAGTGCTAGTGTCAGGCTACCAAGACCACACAAAAAGTTTAAAAAAAACTTTCAATAGCTCCATCCATCTGGCAGTGAAAGGGTTGCTGGGAAAAGCGGAAAGGCGACTGGGCTGAACAAAAAAAAGTGCTTGTAGACTGTGCACTGCCCTGCAGCCTCCTCCAGCTGGATGTCATTACACATGACTCACGTGCAGATCAGGTCAATTAAAAAAAAGGAAATCTACACTCTGAGACAGAGGTCTCGGTTTAAGAACACTTTGGCGGCACGTGTTCCTCTACAGCTGTAAAGTGATTGTGGAAACAAAGCTTCTTACATTTTGCGTTGATTATCCTATCAAAAGGATAAACTTAGCTTCGACTACAGAAAGCTTAATGAGAGCTTTGAAATCCAAGAGATACTTGTAGGTAATCAAGTTATTTTATTCAGAAACCTTAAGTAGAAATCAGCATCAGACTTCAAGTTACTTAATACCATCACTCAACAAACCGGATTAGCAATAATTTGAGTGCATACCTCCGCTAAGGCCCAACAAAAGAAAACACCCAATCTCACAATGTCAAAGAAAAGGAAAAAACAATATAGGATCTGCCCACTGATCAAGATCTAATGGGTTCATCCTTGACCCACATCTCGTTCTTCCACCAAGTTTCATGTAGATCTGTTCTGTTGTTTTTGATCAATCTTGTCAATCTTACCATATTTCTGACTGCATATGTGGCATGCAAAGCAGTCCTCCTGCCTTGCTCTCTTTACTCTGTGTGCCTGTCACTCTGTAGCAAGTTAGAGTGACTTTTGTGTACGTGCACGGTGGGAAACGCTAGGGACAAACAGTTTATACCTGTTTATGCATAAATATTACCATCGCAGTCTTGAATAAGAGTGTGTAGACATTTCTTTCAGCAGACAAGAACTGATGTTGTCATATAATGTGCTGAGTGGTGCTTTCCTATCTCATCTCACTCATTCTGCCTTTTTCCCTCCTTCATGCAGGAGGTCTACACAAACGTGGCACCCTGCACAATATAACATTGCTTCAGGGGACACATAAATCAGAGTACGCTAATCCAAGCACCACACCCAGCAGTTTAAAAAAAGCCATCTAGTCCATCCTATAAGCATGTCAAACAGATAACTGCATTCATATTCCTGGATGTGCATACCACAGGCTGACAGAGCCTCTAAGCAAGTGAAGGGTCTAAACAAAGAGAAAGCTTTGTCTGTCATCAGGTCATAATGAAGAGACAAGCAGAAACTCAACCACGGGCCAGAAAATGTCTATCATTCACCATGATGACAGAGGTTCACTTAATGAGCTCCTCAATTAGGTAGAATGCTTTGATGGAGGCTGCTTTTCTTTCATTTTGTTGTGCTATACAGATGGTCTGGATTTAAAGACTAGGAAATTGAATTAAGTGTCAACTTTTTTGTTTGAATGTGCACCTGATCTTGACAATGTTGTATAAGTGGAGCCATTAGAAGTAATCTCTTTAAGTATGGTCCCCCTATACTTATTAGGGGGTGTTGCTGCAGTAAGAGAGAAGTCAGTGTTCTGACACAAGTCATGTGCATGCCGATGTAAAGAGGAAGCAGATTTCCTACTGGCAACGAAACAGCAATGACTAAAAGTAAGACCAGGATTTTCTTTGCTTGGACCCACAATGAGGTGGAACTGTCACTGACAGTAAAGGTCAGCAACGCTTTGCATTAATAGCTGGTAGTCCAGACTGATAAGACCTAATTAGGAAGTGAATGTGAGTGACAGCATCACCATTTTCGAAAAATCCATCCAAACTCAAACTCAAGTCTCTGGCATTTCTGCGGCACGCCAGGCCCCACAGGAAAAGAGATGTGTTCACATAATTCACCAAAGCTTGTTGGGCATGGGTTCAGCACATTATGAGGTTATGGGACTCTGTTGTTGTAATGTTGTTATGCACTGTCACTCACTCCATTAAAGAGCTGTGGGTAGCCATGGTGATGGCAGCAACATGAGGGATGTGGTTTTGTCAGTTGTCTGTGGAAAAGTTTGTTAATAAACGGCCACAGAGGCCAAAACAAGAAAACTGCTATTTGTAAAGGTCAGCAAAACACAATTCAAATGAAAAACTTCACGAATATTTGGTTAACGAGATCAAAAAATGTTGTATGTACAGTATATGTAGATATATACTTTGACAGACTGTCAACTAGGGAGATACCAAGATACCCTGATTGATCTGCCATGAATCAAAATTTGTGTTCTGCATTGTTATTTTGTAATGGTAATGAGAGATTGTAAGAGCTGATCATAAGAACTGAAAAATGGGACACTCAATCTCTCTCTTCATTTGCAGAGTTGGTCTCTTAGCAACTAAGGCCTGAATGCCTAAGATCTGAAAAGTTAAATACAATGTTTATTATTCACACTTGACAGCTCGGAGCATGAAGAGTAAGTAATTGAAGCACAGGGACTCTTGTTTCAGGGGAAAGACGAGATCATGCGTTGAAATGATTATCCAAACTCAATTAGACGTAATGATTCTGAATTGAAGGGTTTGAAACTTTCAGGATAAAAGACATGACAAGCTCCCAGGGGAGCAAAAGGAAGCTATGTCTGTTTAATTACAGCGTCTAAAAACTTTGCGCTGAAAATGTTTTATTCATTCATCAAACCAGCAACAAAAAATAAACTGCTTGTAGAGACCGTTTTAAGAGCCTACAATTAACTTTTCTGGAGTTTATTGTAGGCAGTTAGGCGCCTGAATGCCTCAGTTGTTTCTACCAAAATGTATAATTTGTTCTAGTTGGATGAGGCCGTCTCAGAGATGTGGTGCGATTATTAGGAAGTCGTCTGCACCTACTTTAATATAACAGGCTATGACACCTTTCATTTTAATTAAGTAAAATCTCTGCACTGTTGCGGTCTAAACCTTGGTAGTGCCTTGCACCAGTATGTGACAATAAGAAAGACGGAAAGCATTTTCATTTATTTACTAGGTAACCAAGGCAGATATTTATTGTTGCCCTTTTCTCAGACAACCAACAGTCGTCTCCTCTGTTGCTGTAGTCATTCCCTCTAACCTAACAACATCCATCTGCACATCATCCCTTGGGAGACTGATCAATTGATAACTGACAGTTACACAGAAATCCATACAAGGACTGAACTGGTTAACGCAGGGATTGTTAAACTGTCTAAATGGCAAAGTTAGAAGCGGTTGACGAGCGAGTCTGTGATTCTCGGACAAACCATCCAGCCCTTGCATCCCTTTTCCATCACCTCTTAATTCACCACAGACACACAATCACTCCAGAACCTTATATGGACACACAACCGTGCATATGCATATGCCCTGGTGCCTGACACTGGCGATGATGTGTACAAATACTTGCCTCAAATCTTACATCTTGTAATAACCCAAAAAATGATGTTAGACTACTCGACAATCATTCATCAACATGGCAATGCATTAGCAGTAGCAATCTCTTCGTTGTCTTCACACCAGAACGTCTAAACACACACAAACAACCAGTGACTACTGGTAAACAATTATCAGTTGTTTCCAACAAGCTGCAGCCGTTTTATGAGTTTATAGATGAAAACAACACACGAACAATGATTAATGATTTAAAGCAGTTCCTCTGAGCTACAGCCGCCAACACTCTCGCAGTTCATCATAACAATACGGATGTCACTATAACAATAACATCATCATAACAGCAACACAAGGGAGGAAGAAAGAGGGGGAAGTCTCTCACGACCCCTGCTGAGGAGAGTTGCTTTTGCTAATCCACACTGACACCAGCTAATCCCATGAAGATCAGCAGCTTTTTGAGGAAGGAAGCAATTGACATGAGGATGCCCCCTCATTCCACACCTGTTAACCACTCTTCCCCTCCATCGGTCAGTTCTGTTATCAAACTGTTCTCTCCTTTCCTTTTTTCCTCATGTGTAATCTCTTGTATTCAAGGACCTATAAGCGACTACAGGGCCTCTTCTTTAGGGAGAGTTAGCTGGGTGGAGAGGGCCAGCTAGTAGTAGGAAGGTGAAAAGATGGCATGATACAGTATCTCGATCTCTATATCCACACACCAACTAAAAAACAATCACTCTAGGAGACCATTGGCTATCGCCTGACTATGAATTATAGCCTCTGGGGGCAGCTGACCATATTTTGGGGCTTTTAGTGTGGTGGGCTGATGTTCAGGCCAAGACTCTGTCCACCGCACACAATTTACAGTGGGACTAGTTTCTTTTATCGCACAAGT